TCCCTGTAACCCCAGGATAACCTAGTTTTAAGACCCGATCGCCTTTCATATGTGACTTTGCAGCTAGGGGGTATCCTTCTCTTAGGACTCCCCTAACCCTTTGAAAACAGAAATGTTTATTTTTAGGAGGAAAATCTTAATTAAGGACACCCATCTTCTCTTCCCCCCACTGAAAAGAATCCCCACGAATCATAAGAAGGTCTCCAGACTACTGTTCATTACCATCTTCAAGGTTTTCAAGTTGATGTACTCTGCATCCCTCTACTTTTGACTTGAATTGTGTGGTTGTTATCATCGGGACCTAACTAGATCTTAGATCTGCATTGCATTGGTAGATCTTTTCTTTTCTCTATTGATCATAAGTTGTGGAGTAATTTACCTCAATTCCAATTTTCCTTTGCAGGCGGGGTGCTCTCCAACCACGGAAGTGAGTTATGTGTGTTCAAGTAGTGCATCTTATGAATCTTGTTAAGCTTTGCCGCCTTATAGCCCTACTGATGGAATATTTAATCACAGAAATGAGTTGGCAGATATGATATACAGCGTGGGTGAGCTCTGCAGCCATCTTACTGGCAATTGAGAAACGGATGGATTCGCCATTTGTCAGTCCCATGTTGACAACTGTGTATAACCTTCTGTTATTTATTTTTATTTTGTTTTACTTATGTATGAAGATTAAAGGTGCTTGCTTTCAATCAACAGTTTCATTGGCTAGCTATCGTGATTTCCCCTAAAAGACACCACAGATTCTTTTAATCTTTTTATGAGATGGCAGTGGAACTTCTCACAACGGCGGGGGAACAATAAGAACCCCCTTTGAGGTCTCCTTGTTGAGATTCTTAGAGACACTATTTCTAATTATACTAAGTAACTTGAAGCATGCTCCTGGGAATAGATATTTGCAGATACTGAACTTCTTATTTATTGTCTTCAATTAAAAAAACAAACAAACAAACAAACAAAAAAACAAACCTGACGTGGAATGGTCCAAGACACTGGCTTTGAGATCTACCTGGACATTTCTTTAATTGACTTATCAATCATTTATCTTGAGAAGAAGCCCCAAGATGCCTTCCTGAAGATGATTAGATGTAGGCAAAATAATCAATGCTGTGTAGCTTTGTAGGAAAACACCCACTCGTCTTTGGAGAAGATTTATGTGGGTTCATGGGATGTGTTGATTTATGCATATCTGCTTCTGGAGACGGGTGTTGGGTAAGCATCCTTCTGGGTAGGACTCGGTAAGAGTTCAGACAAACCCCCCGAAATGAAAGGCCTTTCATAACAGCTTTCTAAATGCTTCCCCTGGAACGTGTGCACTAGGGAAAGTGTGCGTCATAATTTATCAAAGCAAATTAATACTGTTCAGCTAGTAATTAAAGATCCTCATTAAGAGGTGCTCCTGCCCTCTCCACCCCCACCTCGCGTTAGCAATAAAAATGCACTCAGGGCGTCAAGAGGTTATATACGAAAATCAATAACCTGCCATTTTATAATTAAAGAGAAAATAAATGTTAGGGAAAAGTCCACTAAATTAGGAAAATTACCATTAGGAGAGATTGAAAATATTGATTTTAATTTACAAAATATGTGAACTTTTCATGCCCTGTTCTGGGAGACAATTGGAGGCTGGGTTGTTAATTCTGCATAAGCTTCAGAAAATCGATAATTATACTATGGGAATATTATGATATTTGTCATTAATACAAAATCTTACATGCAGGAGTGCCTAATAAGCCTGGCTTTCTATCTCAGGCAGATACAGGGCTGGCGTGCTAAATGTCCACAGCAAATCAATGACAAGGTCTTCATTTTAGCTTTGAGGCACGTTCGAAATTGCAAGATAAATCCAGACTATGCTTATAGTTGGGGAAATCCAAGAATCCCCCAACCTCAGTCATGGGCATTCGAATGGATGATATTAGTAATTATACCTCCAAAGCGAAATGAATACGTGCCCCATCTACATTTGCATATATGCACTCCATCCATCCAGGGGCCTTATCTTTCCATTTAAGCTAGCTCAATCCTCAGAGTCTGTGGGTCTTCCAAGTTTTTCAAAGAAATTGTCCTGGAGTGTTGGACTGGCAGCATTTCCCGACATGTCCACATGTCACGAACTCCGTTTACCGACATACACAGGTAATTTCGGCAAAAAGAAAGGCTTCCGATTAGTAAGGGGAGCCCACGTATCGGCAACACTAACATACGGATTTTCCAAGTAACACTTACTTGTTCATGCCCCATTTCTTTGAAGACTTAAGGTTACTGGAGCATCTCATAGAAATAGTTATTTAGTTGTCCAGGATCCTTAATACTGCCCCTGACACAACCCGTTACCACGTCTGAAAATGGAGGAGGTGGTGGGGGAGGGGAGGGGGACAGCGTTGGTGGTGGTTGGAAAAATCCAAAATTATTATCTTACTCCTCTCTTCTTTAATTTGACTGGCTTGGACATAGAGCAGTAGCCCGATCTACCATCATAGGGCACAGTCCATAAGAATTACAACTTCCAATATTCACAAAAAATAAAGAGGCAGCACATAACCCAGTTGTAAAGACCAGAGGCTCTCGATTTCAAAATCGAGCCAGCTTCTCACCCACTTGAAATCTTAGCCCTTCGGTGCTAAGGGACTCTGCCTACCTTAGTTTTCTCATCTGGAAAACTGCCATGAGGATTTAAATACATTAATTTGGGTAAAGTGCTTAGAACTGTGCCTGGTCACAGATAATACTCGGTAAATAGTAATCTTTATTACAACCTATTCTTTCTCAATAGTGCCATGGTCTAACTTCTGCAGCCGGGCTCAAGGCTAATCTGCACGGCTGCTTTAACGTTCTAAGAGTCACGCTGGTTAATTTATTCTCCTATGTACAAGTCAGTTTGAATGGTTTCTTCTGTCTTACTGTCCTCTCAAACACCCACTGATAGGCATACAGGTTTGAAATCCCACGGAAAGGAGATTCTCTTGGTTGCTTTAGCCAGATGGCCAGCAACTATACTGCTTGGGACCAGAAACAGGTCCTTCCTCTCTCTATCCCAAGTGACACATTTATACCCTACCTCCTCATCAGATGGCTTCTTGCTTCTTGTCCTTGACCCATTACTCTGGGGAGAAACCGGGCACGTAGCCTGGCACGCATACTTGCGGAGAACGTGCTTGCTTGTTTTCGAATCTATCCCGTTCCATCGGGCAGCGCCTGCTGACGCATGGGAGCCGCTGGTTGGCCTCCTCTGTGCCCTTTGGAGGGATGTCCTTTCTTTGTAGCTTTGGACAAGGATGGACCCCAGCAACATCTGTGCCCCTAAACAGACTGCCTCACCCCCGATCCCATAAATTAACTTCCCCCAAATGGACAAGCTGAGAACGGAAGGACCAGTCCTCTCATGATTAAGAAAAGAATCTCTTAGTTTAGAGGTTTACTCAGAATTTAGCACAGTCAGTTAAATTTCCCCTTATGGCAGAGAGGTGGGACATAAATTTATTTTTATTGGCCTAGCGTTTATGTGGTGCTGGCTGTGTACTAGTCTTCATATACTAACCCATTTAATTCTAATAAGTACCTGTGAGTTTGTTACTATTATCATCTCCCATTTAACAGATGAAGACACTGAGGCACAGAGAGGTTAAGTAACTCGCCTAGAGTCACACAGCTGGCAAAGTAGGGGGGCCAGGATTTGAACCTGGGCTGTCTGAGTACAGTGTTTATGTTCCTTATTTAGTGCTAAGTGTCCTCTCGTGAGGTGGGTTCCACCATTTAATCATGGAAAGTTTTATAGTGAACACGTTCCTCTCCCAGAAGCATCAACACAGCCAATTCAAGGTCAGAGAGTCACTGGAGTTAACCCAGGTTTATGGTAATAATCACATGCGAAGAACAAACATTGCCTGTCTGAAGTCCAGAACTTAGCTATCCTATTGGACCTTCCCAGATTTACCACTTTTTTTCTTTGCTGAGTGGGTTACTCTGCTAGAGTAGCCATCCAAGTGTCCTATGTTCCTGTTGGACGCTAGGGTTGATCCATGATTAGGAAAATGACAGATGCCATCCCAGAACGGACTAAGCAGGGGGTAGGACTTACCGTGAAGAGGTCATTAAGTGAGGGAATCTGGAGCAACTGGTCATTTATTTCTCCTTATCAAAGAGCAAGGGCCCCATCAAATAAAAAGTTCTTTTCAATGAACCCATGTGGCAAATCTACTGAAGTTCTAAGATGTTAAAAGCAACCTTGTTAATGAGCAAGGGACTAACGGGCAGAAGTGACAGGCCCAGCAGAGCCCAAATCTCCACCACTGGGTGCTGCTCCCAAAATGGGCTGAACAGATTTCCTACATGGATTTCCTGATCAAATGGTAGTTGGTGGGTAGCGGGGAAGGGGCAAGAGGAGAGACCTACCCTGGAAGGCAGAGCAGAGAGAGATGGAATTGCTAAGGAAAACTGATTAATAGAGAAAGAAAGACTCTTTTTTTTTTTTTTTTTTTTTTTTTGCTTTTTGGTTTTTTTTTGTGTTTGTTTTTCTTTTTTTTCTCAATTTCTAAAGAAGCCTTCTCTTGGCAATTTCAACTCACTGCCACATTATTGGAATAAGTGAGCCAAGTCTCTGCTTTGCCAGGAAGAAAGAAAGGCAACCCCACATGGAAACGTGTGGCTAAAACACACATCCAGGCAGATCGAAATAAAATGGGCACGAACAGCTCTACGTTTGTTCAATGTGCCCTTGAACAAAGTCTTGATGTTTTTTTTTGAGGCAAAATCAATGTAAAATGTCATAAGGAGCTCTGTGTGTACTGTGCGGCATAACGCACGTGCACAATGCCCCTTTATTTTTTAAGGGGTTTAAAACTCTTTTGGTTTCGCTTAAAAAAAAAAATCCTTCAGAACTTCTTAGGAGAGGGATTTACGTGGCTCAGATTATTTTACAAAACCTGCTCTTTACTGGCAGGCAAAACACATTTAGAACAGACAAAGAAGAAGCCATGCAAAGAGGAACTCTTTACCTGCATAGAACTCGGGGCTGTAGACCGCACCCACAACTGGATTCAATTTCCAGCCTTAAAATAAATATACAAAAACATTATTATCACATTTGGTTCAACAACTCATACCACTGCAAGTGAACCACAAATCAAATGGGTTGTTTTATTTATTTATTTTTTTAAATTTTATATTTAGAGGCTCTATAGTTTGGGAATGCATAAAAAAGATTGGAAACCTCTACCTCGAAAATTAGACTTATACTTTTGATTTGCTGCCAGCACAAGTTAATAGGATGGAAACTACTGACCAGCTACAGGTGAACTTTTTGAAAATGCTGTGGTAATTAATTTTCTCCCACATCAATATTTTCTAGAACCACCATAATAATTTCAATTTTTTTGTCTTCCTCTATGGATCACCACTAGATAATCCATCATATGTCCCTTCCCGATAAGTTCACAAAAATCTGAAAGCTCACATAAACAGAATTCTTTGTGGCAACATATTCTGATAATTGTCATTCCTAATTATGACCCAGAGAATTCTGAAGTGCTTTTAACATCCCAAAGAAAATGACATTTATCCGCTAGCGATTGAGTGAGGAATACATTTCAGTGCATTCAGGAACCATAAAAATTCTTAATCAATGCATGATATCTAAGGTAACTTTCAAACAACCTGTGTATAAGATTAATAGAACCTTATAATTTTCCCAGTGTTCTGGATGGAACATTTTCTGTAAAATGAATCCTGTCCCCTTAGGAACTTTTACTCAAGAAAAGAGCGAACAAGAATATTTGCAAATGGAGAAGCTGTGCACATTGCATACCCATTGGGCATCATTGAGGGAACAACCTCCAAAGAATGGTCACGTTTCAGGGTTTGGTGATTACTTCCTGCTCCTGCTGGTGAGTTTTATGAAAACATCCATTATATAGAATTTCTGAAAGACCAAGAAGGGCAGGCACGCTGCCTTTTGCAGAAGACCTTGTGTCCTTGGGCTAAAGGTCAAACACCAGAGGTCCTTTAGTATATGAGTCTGAGAAAAAGCAATGGTAAAAGTTGGGATGCCAGAGAAGGTATTTCTGACAAGGAGAGCTCTTCCCAGAAGGGAGAGATATGATATCTTTTCATCTGACCTAAGTGATGCACCTAAGAACAGCCAAGAGGTGGCCACAATCTACTGATCCCCTAAGGAAGACAGAGGCTCAATATCTCAATAGATAGGACCCTGGAGACCAGAGAACTTTCTAGAACTTTCCAAGAATTTTTTGTTTCTAAGAACGTTCTTCCAACTTGAATGAGCTAGCTAGTTTACAGCCCCCAGGATGGTCTTAGGATAGGATTTTTCAAAGTGCAATGCTTTCGTGCCGGGGAGGCTTATTAATGGAAACGTCTGGCCCAATTTTAGATCACCAGAAAGAGACATAAAATTCTGAGATGTGTTGTCCCAACGGTTTCTGAAACTTCACACTGACACCTCCCTCTGTTATATTAACCACATCTTGTCATATAGGAATTGCTATAATGATATAAAAATAAAAATGATCTGGCACATTTCAGAAAATGTGCTTTATGGATGTGGAGAAGGACTTCAGTTTGACCAATTAAAATTCTACTATTTCCTAAAAAAAGAAAATACCCAATTTCTGTGATCTGTGGACTAATGTCCACATTTCAAGTCCATGGAATCAAAGAGAAAATAGAGCAAACTGTTTGAAAATAAAGCTTCAGGATTATCTGGACATATTTAATGTTCTTCCCTAATCCTCCACAGAAATCTCGAGTTTGTGAACAAAGTATACGAGGACCCATATTAAGTGAATAATTAAGTTATGAATTTATCACTCTTTTTCTTTATTCCTCTGATCCCCATCTTATACTCTGCTCACGTCCCTACCTTCTACTGGTGATGGAGACAGGGTCTTTTTGTCACTATTGAAATAAGATTTTGTTTTTTTATATACATCCTCATTAGCTCCCTTAAATATTGCCTTCTACACACAAGACTGGGACATACCATTTGCTGAATGTGGACCCACTGATTAATTTTGATGGAACTCTCAAAGACTATAAGTTATGCCAACGGTCTCTCAATTTCTCAGCGAAACAGATTTCTCAGAGATATCTAAGACTATCCTAAATCACGTTCCTCTCATTTGCCTTTATTCTCCTCATTTCCTTGAAGCCTTCTACCAAATCTATATCAGTCTTCTATTGATCCATCTATCTGTCCATAGATCTATCTATCATCATTTTTCTCTATCCTCTTTTTCATCTATTCATCTATCTACCTATCTATCAATTGATTGCTTGTCTCTTGACAAAGTTTACCTGGTGTTATTAGATCTCCAGTGTCTTCCCAGGGAAGGCCACTTCATGCCCTTATCTATCTATTCACCAACTACCTCCCAGCTTACCATGTCTGTTCATGGAAAACTTTTATTCAATATGCAAAGAATATGCTCCCTCATTAGGAGATACGTGATATCTCATGTCTGCCAGTACTAACTGAGAGAGGTCAATGATAAGATCTCCTTCACAAGAAACCGACTTGGAATCTGTGAGCAGCAAAATGAAATGTCATGGGAACACCACTGCAGGTTTTGCCCTGCTCCCTGTCATTGGTCCTTCTTCCTAACCAGTGCTGCTTTGGTATGGAAACCAAAGATGTTTCTGATCCACACCACAGACATGAAAACCAGCTTATTACCTCCCTTCTTCCCTGCAGTCTGCTTCTCAACAAATCTCTCCACTTCAGCAAAAGGCATCTCTCATCCACTTGGCTCCTCAAAGCAAAATTCTTGATAAATAATTCCTTGATTCTCCCATTACCCTCATACCCTATAGAAAATCCGATTGGTTAGATGTTGAAAGACATTTCCATGCTCTCAACTTCCATTCCTCGCCATTGGCACCATCCCAGGCCAAGACACTTCTATTTCTCACCTGGATGAGACCCAGCAACAATGTCCTAACACACTCCGTCTCTTCCCACTCTTCTTCTCCCTCCTCCCTTTACCCACTCGATTCCTAGTGGTCAAGCCCATTTTAAATGAGTGGATCAGATACGCCATTCTGCTGCTCAAAATTCAACAGCTTCCTTCTGAACTTAGAAGAACACAAACTCTATCCTTGACCCACAAGCCCACACAACCTAACCTCTGTCCATTTATTTCATAGTATGGTTCCTTTCTCTCCAAAATATGGTGACACTATGCTTTTAAATTTTTTGCAAAACCACCCAAGATCATTTGAGATCAATTCTGGATTATATCCACTGCTCCCTGTGCTTGGAGAACTTTCCCCAGCTCCTGACAAAGTTCAGTTGATATTATGGAGGTCTCCAGACTCTTCCCAGGGCGGACTACTCAATGTCACTCCTTCCCCTTGAGTTATACCCTGATTCAATTCCCTATTTTGTTTTCTGCATAACTGTTAACACTACTTGGGTTTATCTTTCTTCTTTCTTTCTTATTCTTAATTGTTTTTATAACCATTCCCCTTCATTAAAATTAATGGTAAAGTGAACAAGAGTGCTGTCCAATGTGAATTCCCAGCACCTAGAACTGCATTTGGCAAATAGTCAAGGCTCCATAAATATTTACTTAGTTTTGCTCTAAAGGAACAGAAGGAATAGAGAGCTTTTTCTAATGGACTCATTCCGTTTTGGCTAGGATTCTGTCTCCTTCCAACCTCCAATGACCTGCTTCCTGATATACATCTAATAAAGAAGGACTCTGTTAGGGGTGACTGTCTTCAAGGCAGAGTAAGGAAGGATCTAGACCCTCAGAATCACCCCTGCTCAGACTTACAGAGCTCATGCAGGCTTATGTATATATATGTAAATCACATGCAGATAGCCTCCTAGTCCCCGTGACTCCTTCCAGTACCTGGAAGAGACCCTTAGGATAACCCTGCTGAAGACGGGAGACTGCACTGTCAGGAAGATGGACAAAATGATCCCCGTTTTAAGTCCTCAGGCAGTCTGTGTACATCCTCAGGCCTTGCAAATTCAGAGATTTTGATCAAGGACATTAAACCGAACAATGAGGCTTACAACAAAAGAGAACAGCTGATAAAGCCCACTGCTCCCAGCCTCTCAGGGCTGCCCATACAACAAGGCAATGGAGCAGAGACCAGACATAGGAGCTCTGTAGAGAGACCCCCTCTACGGCTGGGTCTCAAGGGGCTGCATCCAAATCAGCACTCCCCTCCTCAAATTTAGCTTCTCAAAGGTCATCTGCCAGTTTGCCGTAGAAAAACGCTGCCTAAGCTCGCCAGTGTTAACTATGGCTGTATTAGATTTTAAAAGTCAAGTCTGAATGTGCACACAAAAAATCTGCACATGTCTTCTCTAGGGCTTTGTTGGGTTGGATAGCAAAGAAACATATTCAAGAAAGTGCCCTTAAATGCACCACAGGGGTTTCTGGAATTGTATACCACTGCTTTCTAAAGACATCTACTGAAGATGCCAGGTAACGCCCAAAATGAAAAGTTAGTTGCACACTGCGTTTGGTTTGCCCACTATTTTTTTTTTCTTTTGCAACATATATTCATGGCCAACATTCAGATTTCATTACGATACAGGATTTCTGGTTTTCTTGAAAGTTCCGTAGAAATAGCCCACTTTAGAGTACGAATCCCACAAAGACCAATTTGCTAGAAGTGACCAGGGATCACACCACTTAGCCCCCAGTAAGCTGCAGACACCCATGCTCCCTATATGGCTTAGAGGCCAAATGCCAGCAATCTTTGATTATTATCCCATCCTGCTTTTCCTTCTAATAGAGAAATATTTTGCTTTTCCTTGTATGGAAATGGAAGATAGTTCAAAAATAACGTGAGTTTTTCCAACCCTCTCTGTTTGCTTATCTATTTTACCTGCCTAGCCTCTGCTGGCATCTGAATATTTGATCCTGAAATTAGTATGTCTATCAGGAAATTCAATTTATGATCTCTAGCAAAAATGAAACAAGATGACTACTTATTATTGAGATTACTGTGTAATTAAATTTTTAGGGCATTTCGTAGGCCTGGTCCTAGGTTGAGCACTTAACTCCATAATAAGCACAAATAGCCCAGAGAGTAGGTCCCACTGTAGCTCAGTTTCCACTTAAGAACACTGGTGTGTGGAGGGTTTCCACAACTTGCCTATAGTTCAGAAGCCAGTGAAAGGCAGAGCTGATACAAGGTCTACTTCTCTATCTATAGTCTTGGATTTTTATTTTTTTTTTTTGGGTCCAATTTTTATCCTTCCTAAGCTGTTTGAGAAAAAAAAAAATCCACATCCAACATCCAGGGAATCCTAGAGAATCTGGTTCGCAACTTGTTTTGCACTGCAAACATCTGATCTGCAGAGAGTACAATGAGCCCCAGCTCTGGTCTGAGGGCTGCTGTCCTGGGGAGGAATCAGCAAGACAGAAGTAGCCCAGCTCCCTCTTCGGGAAGCTCTCTGATCAACAGTGTTTGCAGAACCCTGGATGTCATTCTACAGTCTTCTCTCATATCCAAGCTCAAGTGTCCTAGGAAATGTAACACCTTGATGATGGTATAACAGAGCCCGCTGGTGTTTAGGATCTGGCCTTACTCATCACCGGAAGCCATGTGGCTGGTTGAGCTCTTGCCCGGCATGTGACTAAAGGGACGCACGAATGTGACGCTGGCGCTGACAGTGACATTTCACCATGTGAAGCTGACCTCAAAATGTGACGGCTCTAGGAAGTTGTACTTCCCGAAGTATACGTTGGCAACTGTAACTTTGCTCATTTTGGCCAGACTTCATGGGACCTGATTTATCTTCTCTTCCCCACTCCCAGCTTTACTGAGGTATAATTGACAACTAAGATTTGTACATATTTAAAGTGTACAACTTGTTGACTTGATATTACATATACACGGCAAGATATCAGCACAATCAAACTAACTTACACATTCATCATCTCACATAGTAACTTTCTTTCCCTCCTTCCCTCCTTCCCTCCCTCCCTGCACCCTTCCTTCCTTCCTTCCTACCTAACATTTTATTTATTTATTTGACAGAGAGAGATACAGCAAGAGAGGGAACACAAGCAGGGGGAGTGGGAGAGGGAGAAGCAGACTCCCCACTGAGGAGGGAGCCCAATGCAAGGCTTGATCCCAGCACCCTGGGATCAAGACCAGAGCCAAAGGAAGGTGCCCAGTGACTGAGCCACCCAGGTGCCTCTTTCTTTCTTCCTTCCTTCCTCCTTTCCCTTCCTTCCCTTCATTTTATTCTTTTTGTGGTGACAATATCCCTTTTAACATAGTCACTCTTGTTAAGGATCTGAGAGGGCCCCATTATCTTCTCTTGTATTGCAGTTGATGGGAAGGGTTACTTGTAGTGATAACACTCACAAATTATGGATTGGAAAGCTTTGAGAACTGCTTTTCTTTGAACTACCAAGGGTCTCCACAGTATCTCCTATAGAATCTAGCTGCTTTATGTCACTGGGATTTGTATTTGTTTCTCAAGTCGGTTCAGCTGTGACTGTCCCATACTCAGTCCACATGACAGCATAAGCTCGAGTGCTCCCTTTCAGGTACCGGGATGAGAAACCCACAGGACTTATTCTCGGAAACTCAGGATGCATGGCTACCTGCAATGAGATGTGGGATGCTTATGCCTCAAAAACAGGCATTTGGGGCTGAACATTTAGTAATCCTTTTGTTATTGTGGTCCGTTGCCATTTGTGCGCAGGTCTGTAAGATGATGGAGGGGAAGCGATGTTCTTGCATTCACACAGGCATGACCACAAGGTTTGTTACTCCAGAATAAAAGGGAAAGACTTCACTAATGACTTCATCTCTTCCAGCCTCAGGTTTTGCCTCTTTAAAACAGGGATAAGTATGTCCTCTTTGTAGGACTTCATGTGGGTCCGGAACATTTAAAATGCTTAAGATGATGCGACATGGTCATTGTTCCGGGAATGTTGGCTATTAATGGATGGGCTTTGAACTGTGTCCCTAAATTCCACTGGGCTAGTGTTCAACCCTGGGTAGGACATTGATCAATAACTTCCTTTAAAATAAACATGCATCCATACGGCTTAGGGAATAATATTTGCCTTCCCTTGCTTCGTTTCCTCACATCAACACACCTGAGCACCTATGCACATGCACGCTAGAACTCCCTTGCACATGTGCGCCCACGCACAGGGTTCCCACTTCATCATTCCAGGAAATGCCCCACAGTGGGGCTGATGTTATCATGTATTAACTCTGGCAAGTTGCAGAGCTATCATTTTTACCCAAGTAGAAAGGCCTCATGATGCATAAATCAGAAATCTGTTTCATTTCAGCACTGGGCATTCAGTCTGTTGTGGAAACTTTCTATACCATTTAAGGCCATGTCTCGGGTGGTTGGAGCTGGAAAAATGGGTCAGCAGAATAAACAATTCCTCTGATCTTTCAAGCTGGAGCCCTGTTATATTGAGGGTATATCTCTGTTTAATGGTGCCCCTTTTAAAAATAAGAACAGACTGACTTAGCCAAATTGGTAGTCAATGCACAAGGGAAAAAAAAAAAGAAAACCAAAACTACTAAATGCTAATACTACGGTTTATAATAACAACAACACAAAATTCAAATGTCAATCAGTATGGAAAGAAGGTAGAACTAAACCCATTAATCGGGATGCCTGCGTGGCTCAGTCGGTTAAGCCTCTACCTTTAGCTCCGGTCATGATCCCAGGGTCCTGGGATAGAATCCCACATTGGCTGGGCTCCTTGCTCAGCAAGGAGTCTGCTTCTCCCTCTGACTGTCACTGCCCCTGCTTGTGAACACTCTCTTGCTCATACTCTCCCTCAAATAAATAAATAACATCTTAAAAAAAAAAAGAATAAAACCATATATCCATTTTAGAGAATGTTATGTAATTGCTAAAAGGAATGAGTTTGGTCTCTATGCATTAAAATTGAAGGAACTCCCTATTGATATCTAAAAGCCAATTAAAAATGATGTGTATGCCATAACATCATTTATAGAAAAAGTGTGTACATGACAACATGTATATTACAAATATATACCTATTACATATATATGCATAAAAATGCAAAGTCAAAAAACAGATAATAATCTATAATGGGGTATCCTCTGGGGAGCTAGGGCACTGAGCTGGCAGTGGCATTATTCAAAATATATTTAACCTTTTCATTAATGTTTATTTCTTTTTTTTTTTGAATGAATCTATATTTCCATGTTTCACATGTAACTAAAATATTAAAAATGGAAAGTTTCATACATTTTCCTCTACGACAGCAATAAAATTATATCATTTTTGAAAATCTACAAAACAGAGGAAAATGTCTTCCAGTCTTACAATTCAACTCAACCATTAGCATTTTGATGCAATGCCTTCCATAATTTGGTTGAAATCATGCTATACTTTTCCATTTAAAAATTTTTCATTCATTAGGGGGCTCTGTAGAGTCCTCACCTGGCTCATTTTAATGGGTATAGTATCCCACTTAGTGTATATACTTTGATTTACTGCATTAAATTCTTCCCAGCTTTTTGGTACCATTAAGTATCGCTGGCCCCCCACACCTTAAGTATCTTATGAGAGATGCGTTCTGGGAAGGATTAAAGAATCAAAGTGGTAGAACACTCTCAACTCTTGTTATGTATGTGAATTCTGATCATGAGGGGTTTTGAGACGGCTTCTTGGTTAGGAAGGACAGAGATGCGTTGTCCTGAAGGGGTCTGCAGTACGTGACAACATCCTCACCCGGCTCAAAACAGCATTGGGGAACCGGAAGAAAAGCAAAGACTGCACCCACCCGATGGTGGTCCTCAGGAGACACCCTCCAAGCCACTTTGAAACTCTCATAGCTCCAGAGAAGACCCAAGGCCAGAACCAAACTCTGAAGCCCCTCTTCCAGAAATGACTAGGGATCAACAAGGAGGTTGTGGTGGTAGAAAAAAAGGAAACAAACAAAATTTCCATCCTCCCTCAACTTACTATAATAACAGCAAAGTAATTGACCCAAGTGATCCTTGAATGACTGTATTTCACCCCAAATGGGAGTTATTCTGGAGAGATTGGAGGAAGGGCAGGCATGCTTGACCTGAAAACTAAATTTGCCCCAGTTGTGAAAATTATTTTTTTATAAAAATTATTATTGAAGTCTAGTTGGCATACAGTATTATATTAGTTTCAGGTGTACGACATGGTGATTTGACATATTCAGGGCTCACCAATAGACTGTTTTCAGTAGTCACTGAAAAATACCGTACTGATTCACATGGTTCACTGTAGCAGGTCAGCAGCAAGGACACGGCAGCCACACCGAGGCGAAAAGGGCTTATGGAAACATACACCCTGGTTAAATGATACTTAAGAGATACAGAGATAGGGATGAGCTCTTGTAAAGGACTTACCATTTGTATAAGGGTTGACAGTCTTTTTATTTGTCATTACACGTGCTGTGGCATTATTTACCTACGTACACAGAAAACTCAAATGAGCACAAATTCCAGGGCCAGCCCACAGTTCAATTAGTTGCATGCATTATGACTGTGATTACTTATTAAAAAAAAAAAAAACTAAAATGCATTTTAATTTATAAAAGGCAGTAGGTGCATAACAAAATCATACATTTTTATAATTACATTTACTTCATAACCATTTTAACTTACAAATCATTTCAATAAAGCAATGTCATATCATTTAAAAGTTTAATAAGGAGACAGTAAAAGCAAATTAAAAGGAACTGCATAATTGAAGACTTAAAAGCATGCGTGTACTCCATGGTAACACAGAAACAATAAATATTTTTAAACACAAAATAAAATTCATATGAAGGAACATGCAGTGGAGTAGAAGAGGGGAGAGACAAGGTACAAGGGGACATAAATGTCAAAAAAAAAAAAGGGACAAACAAGATTTAGCCGTGTGCAACACGTTGGGAGGGAAGGACCGTCGGGAGAGCAACATCTAGCATTCAACACTTGAAACAAGAGCCTTCGACATCGCAAGAATTAACAAGATCATTCAAGCTTTAAAATCACAGCTAACGAAAGGATAAAAGAGAGGGTGCATTGTTTAACACAATATGGAGTTAACAATCTGAGTAAGATGTGCACTGTCATGTCTCAATCCAGTCAGTGCCTCCCAGGCTCGCTTCGAACGTACACTCAATTACAGGCGTACCGGTACCCAAAAAAATAGAGCATCAAGAAAACTTAATACGACAAGTCAAAAAAATACCACGTGGTATATATATATGTAGAGAGAGAACCAGCACTAGATACGTGAAGCGGCAGATGGACTTCACCACTTACCATTCACCACCATCGCCAGCATGGGTTTGTATACAGTTACCATGGTTACTGAGAGTTTGGTGAGGGGCCTAAGCGTTATCGTCGAGGGGGGGCGGGAAAACGAAAGGCAAAATATGCAACATCTTACTCCAAAGACTAAAAAGCATTTTTAACTGGTATTTTTTTTTTTTTTAAGTTTTAACAAATATAACCCTGTGGCCATGTTGAGGGAGATCCAGTGGTAGAAAGAGTAGATTCTGAGTATCCAAATTTTAGCATTTATTTTTATTATTTTTCTTTTTCAGTGAAGAGAGGCCAGATATTTAACAGGAAATCCTGTTGGGTTATTTACTTTATTACCGAAAGAAGGCAAAGGTTCAAACTGGCTTCTTAAATGAAAACAAACAAACAAACAAAAAAAAAAATGAAAGATTTCAGTGACAAAGACCTCTCATTTTTTTTTTTTAAACAATAAACAGTTTTTCTTCCGAATGCTACTGCTTTAGCCATTTGAGTCAATTTGGACACCACTGTGGATCCCTCGTCAACCCTGCAGTGGAAAGAAAAAGAAAAGGAACAAAGAAAAAGAAAAAGAAAAAGAAAAAGAAAAAAAAGAAAAGAAACTGCTCTGTTTTTTTGTTTTGTTTTGCATACTGTCTCCACTGTTTGGAACCTACTGCACCCGTTGCTCATAAAACACAGAAAATCAAGGAAAAAAAAAATTTCAGAGTAACCTTTCTTTTGTTTCACTTTTGCCATTCACCTTTCATCAGTAATAAGAAGAACATAATAAAGTAAAATTTAAAAAAAAAAGTAAGGCCAGTTTTCCTTTTTATATATAAATATAAATATATATATATATATATATATATAAACAATGAGAAGGGAGTGGGGTCACATACAAGACACGATGATGCATCTGGAACAACGAATGAGCGTGAAGCAGACATTTATAAAGAAGATGTAAAGGAAAATATTTTGAACATGCACCTCGATTTTACGGCCCTCTACCACGGTGCCGTGTAATTTCTCCCTCGCCCTGTCCGCATCGGCACTATTTTCGAAAGTTACGAAACCAAATCCCTGCATGCAGGAGGGAGAAGGGGAAAACAACATGCACATTATTATTCCAGTCAACGACCACTGTGTAACGTTCTCTCGCTTTAATTTCTATTTCTTGTCCTGGCTTCAGTTCTGTAACATGCAAATTAGAGAAATTATAAGAATACAAAGATGTGCAATAAGTAAGCGACAAATGTGAACAAGATTTTTTTTTTCTGTCACCAGTTAGCTGTAACCCCTGAAGAATTCAAAGAATGATACCAAAAATACCTTTCTAAATGTCACTACAGAAGAAAATAAGTCTAACGGAAAGAAAATGAGATCAAAATAAATTTACAGTGTCTTCACAGAGAAGAAAATGAAATAACGAGGAAAAAAAAGGGAACCACTTTCTTGACATGCAAATTAAGAATAAAATAAAATAAAACGTGTGCACGGAATTCAACAATGAATGCCAAAATCTTCTAACATTGCCTACAGAGTCATGCCGTGTGGTCTTAAGAACATCTCTTCTTCATGCAATTTTAGGGTTATTCAGATTTGTCAATTTTACAGCCTTAACTTCTCAAAATAAAAATTAGAAGCCTAAAAAAAAAAGGAAAGACCTTTTTCATAATAAATCTTAACCTCTTCGATCTAATAAACAAAATAATCACATGAAATGAATTGAAATAAACATCAATTGATTAATAATGCAAAGAGTTCAAGTTGCCCTTTTTTATATCAATACTTCCCCCGCCCCTCAAAAACATATACGCTTCTGAACTTGTCAACTTTCCAGGCTAACTTCATTAACTGAAAAGGGAAACGTATGCATGTATCGTAACGTTCTAAGACATTATCTTGATATTCACTTGTCAAGTCAACAGTTAGAAAATAAAGGAGCTCAGTTAAGAGACTTATTCGCAGTAACACTCTGGGCGCTACCTCTCTTACTGATAGATAATGGACCCTTTCCTTCGCCACTGGCATATTTTGTTTTAATATTTCAGCCTCAAAAAACAACCCCACTAAACGTCACATTGTCAAAAACCACCTTTTTTCCTTCACTGACACTGTTCCTAAGAAGAGTACAGAGAATATGACACATTATTTTTAAAACCCCTAAAAATATTTGTACATCTTGTTCAGAAATATACACCAACCTTTTGAAACCATTCCAGTGTAAATTTGCCCAGCTCGTTCTGGTGAAACAATGCAATGTGTCGGGACTCCTATTTGCAACGGGGTAAACTTCAGTAAAGGGGCATGTCGGTTTCTAGCTTAGTTGGGACAGTCTGACATTCAGTCTCACTGATAAAAGGGACAGTAATTACAAATAACAAGTAGTCAAGCTACTAATGCTAACCCAACCCCTCGCTACATTGCTGAAGAGATTTCCAAAGCTTGGGGTATTCAGAGAGGTGCTGGCCCAAGGTCTGCCTGAAGAGAGAACTTTCCAAAGTCAACGTGGGCTCATCTATAGGAGATCCCATCCGGGGATGGATCCAAGCTAAATTAAATGATTATGCTACAGAATTCTATAGAGAAAAAATAAGCAGCTTTACTTTGGAGGACTGGACTGAGAAGTCTTCGATAATATGACCCACTATGAGGAACTGAGATGAGGACGGGTCTGGATGATTCGACCAGTATAAGACTTTATGCTCCATAACAGAAGAACTTTGTCTCGGACATCGCTTGTGGTATGCCCATGTGAAGTGTCCAAGTAGCCCAACCGGTGAGTTGTGCAGTAACAGCTCTTTAATGGACTGAAGACAGCATTTGAGGGGTTTGCTCCATGAATGGTGCTGACTCTTGGTCAGAGGGTCCCAAACTTGGTTGCCCAGTGAAAGGAAGTGGGGGCATAGCATATGAACATTAGGATTCCTGGACGCTGCCATGTGTCTACCCAATCAGAATCTCAGAGCGGAGCCCAGACATCTGTCTGCTGAGAAGGCTACAGCGTGCCCCAGCAGCTGCGTTTCCATGGCCTCTCTTATTACCAAGCACCATCAAAGGCAAGTTCCAGTTCATTGTATGAGGCAGACTATTTCATTGACAATGTCCAATGGGCACCCTACTCAGTGGAGTGAGTTTCGGAGGTGACCATCTGTCTGACGTGGTGATTTGGATCTTGGGCGTATAGCTACCGTCTCCTCAAAATCAAACTCTCTGGCACGCACAGAATCTCATACAACTAACAAATAAAGGAAATAAGGATGCTGGCTGCAACAGGGGCAATTCTCTCACAAGGAAAGCAAAGAAAGTTCACAGTTGGAGTCTTACGGATGGAAGGCTTGGTGGCATCATTGCCATCCACGGGCACCAGGCATTAGTACCACAGCCCAGTGAAAGGGGACATTTAACTCCCCCACCCAACGTCAACCCAAAGAATCACATCATCGTGATTCTTTTCTGACCCCAGGGCAAACCACACTGGCCTAAAATCTGCACTGTGGGCATCAGGGAGACATGAAAGTGGAGCCAGAAATAGGTTCTAAAATCCCATAAGTTCATAAACCACATAGCAAGTAGTTCACTATATCCCCAAATTCTTACCCTGTTTTGAAGTCAGATAACATATAAGAATTCTTCTTATTCTTACTCTCATGTTCCGCTACACTTCTCTTTCTCTCTGTTTTGTTTGCTTTTTGTTTTTGAGGTCCTCATTATTTCTTATTTCCAGCTGGTGAGATGACTAGTTGAGATTCTAGAAAGTTGAATGCAGAAGTGCTTGCTCCAGACGTAGGCCCCAAATATCAAAGGGACTATCCTACCTCTTCCATTGGACAGTCACCCCCTCCTCCTCCACAAGGCAAGAAGGGATATGGCCAGAAGATCACTGGAATTCTCATCTGGAGGGTGAAACCAGTTACCTGGCCATTTTCAGATATCCTCTCTGCCAAGTGCAGGAGCTGGGCCACTCTTTGAAATCGGTGCTGAGGCTACTTCCTTTTTCCTGCCTCAAGGTCAGAATTCTATCTCCAGGAAAGCACAACTTGGAATTCTTAAAAACTTTCTGAATATTTTTATGTCAGCCTTAAGAAGGGGAACGTAAGAAGCACATTCTGGACTTGGCCTGAGAGCTCAGGAGCTGGGTGCAATGCTGGATGTGGAACCCTGAACGTTCTAGAACACACAGGGTGCACAGAGCACGGCCCAGGTGCTCTTTGCTGCAGGAGACGCACTGCTTCCGGAGCTCACCTCAGCAGAGGGGTGGAGAATGTTCACTCCCAGGTTCAATGCCCTTTCTTCCCAGAAGCCTTCCCACCCCTAACAGTCTTGGCCTGCCTGCTCGCTCCCTTGCCATAGAGCACGGCCTGCACCCTGACCGTGGCTGGTCTTAGTGGTTCGTCTCCCCCACCACTCAGGAAAGTCTATGAGGACCGCTTCGGTCTCACTGACCATGGATTCACCCATCTTCTTGTCCCAAGGAGGGAACTAGTCCTCACAAATCATCTACTGAATCAAAGATCAGACTATTTCCCGGGTATATTAAGAAGTAGCTCTCTCTGGTTGTATCCCCCACATACATCATTTCAGAGTTCAACAACATGTTTTTAAATCTCCTAAAAGGAAAAATGAATGATAGGATCTCTTACCCCTAAATACTATCAAATTCTCATTTTTGAAGTCGGTTGTGTCTTTTTAAAATGTGGCTTCCCTGTATACTTGCTATCCATGTGCCCAGGAGCTATTTATGGTAGATGTTCTCAGGATAACACAGATACTACCTGTATCTTAATAGGGTATGTGCAAACACGCACATGCACACATAGACACACACACACACACACACACACCAAACACCCAGAACACACAGCCATACTCTGTGAGCACTGAGTGACCTGCCTCGGGGACCAGCTCCAAAGAGAATGACCAGACAGTGAGCTCTGGCTCTGAGGGCCCACCTGCTTCCTGGCTGCTTGTCCTGTGGCAAACGACGCGCACCAGGTCGTAACAGTGGTTCAGGTTTCTTAACCATTTAAATGGAAATGTCCCTTTAAATAAGGCCCTTTCCTGCAGAGGATAATGTCAAGTCTGAAAAATATCCCTGGGTGAGTGGCTGTCCCCATTTAGCAGTTCCTCCAAAGGACTGTCTCGAGGACACTCCACTCACACTGCAACCATCAGCCCCCAGCACCTGCCAGAACGCCTCTTTCCGAGGGAGCCTACCCACCCAGGCTATTCTTGATGTCTCCTAATCAAAAGTAAAAAGAAGGTTCACAAAGTCAGTCGCTGGATGAGGCAAACTTAAACGGTCTTCACCGCTAAAGCCCCAGAGACAGGCTAATCGTGGCAATGACGGAAGAGGGATTAAAAATAGTTCCTCCATTGTACTTTCAAAATAGCAAACGATACTCTTCTAATGTCCCAAAACAGCTCTCGAAAGGAATTAAACAGCTTTTTCCAACTGGGAAAAGTTGCAAAACAAAATATAAAATAAATATAAATTAAAAAAAAAGCAACAACAACAAAACCACAACAACCTTTAAAAGCATTAGCGCCACAAACTCAGGATTACAAGAGAGTTGGTCAACATTCCGGGTCATCTAGGATTTTGCCAAGAATGCATCAGGCCTCAGTGAAAAGGATTAGTTAAGCTAGGCAAATTTTTCTTTTCTTTTCTTTTTTAAGATTTTATTTTTAAGGGACGCCTGGGTGGCTCAGTGGGTTAAAGCCTCTGCCTTCGGCTTAGGTCATGATCCCAGCGTCCTGGGATCGAGTCCCACATAGGGCTCCTTGCTCAGCAGGGAGTCTGCTTCACCCTCTGCCTCTGCCTGCCACTCTGTCTGCCTATGCTCACTCTCTCTGACAAATACATAAATAAAATCTTAAAAAAAAAATTAAAAAAAAAAAGATTTTATTTTTAAGTTATCTCTACTCCCAACGTGGGGCTCGAACTCACAACCCCGAGATCAAGAGTTGCATACTCTACCAACTGAGCCAGGCAGGTGCCCCTGGGCATGTTTTTTCTTAATGCAATTTGCCTTGCAAGGTATAGAAACAGCTTCTATAATGATTTTTAACTAAGGAGCAGAAAGAAAATGAACTTATGTTTCCCCCAGCCTAGAGGTCACACCACTGATATAAAAATAACTAAAGTATCTGAAATTTGGGGAGAAGACCCCTGCACTGGCAGAACTAGAGAGTATAATGATTTTTTTTTTTTTTTAATCTCATGCAGCGTATTACGACATCATTTTGGCCACGGAAAGGAGAGTACTGGAATTTTCTTCCCTCACATCAAGCTGTATCATCCTATTTAGGATGGAAAGGGCGTAGACTACCGAAGGAATAATGCATGGGTTTGTGTGCTTCACGGGAAGGAGGTGCTTGCTATGCCCAGGAGGGGTAGCACTTGCTCCCTTAGAGAAAACCAGTTCTTCTCATAAACCCTCTTGGATAAGGACTTGTCCCAAATTGCCTTCGTGAGGAAAGTGACGGGGCTAAATCCAGTATCTCTCTGTATCTGATAAGCAATCTGTCCCAATACCAATTGCACAGTCTGAGGATGCAAGGGAGCTTAGAATTCCTGCCAGCCTGGCGACTGGTACCCTGGAAATTGGGCAGAGTTATTGAAAGTGGTCACTTTCTGGCTGCTGAGGTCAATCTCGGGGTCCTCCGACAGGATGCTTACCACTCAGTATCTGCTATTAAGCCTAACGCACTGCCTTCCTTAAGGGAGATTCTGAGGGAGCCCTGGAGTTTTCTGTGCACGCAGGTGGGATGAGGACACGTTCGCCACCACAAAACACCAGTGGGCAAAGGGGCATTTTGCATTTAGATGAAGCGTTGGCGTTTGTCTAAAACAGGCAAACACAGTGTTTATAACTTTAACGGCAGGCCTGGAAGGTTTGTTAAAACACAGATCGCTGGGCTCCCATTTTGAGTGTCTGATTCGGTAGGTCTGGGTTGGACCTTGAGAATTTGCATTTCTGGTACGTTCCTAAGTGCTGCTGCTTGGGGGGTCTGCATTTTGATGACCTCTGATAGACGGGATGCTTTGAGAGAGCTGGGCCTTTTCTTCTTAAACATATTTCCACGCTGAAGGTGCTGGAGCCTTTCCACATAACCCCTGATTTTTACTAACATGCTTAGGTCTGGAAAAATTGACTTAGAAATTGGTCTCCTACAGAAAAAACCGAAAACCAAAAACGAATTCAAAGCAATGGCAAGTTGCAAAATGGGGAGTGGCAAACATATTAATGAATCCAATTATATTCAAAAGGTTGGTGTATATGAAATTTTCTCCCCTACAACCCAGGAAAATAACTGCACTTTATTAATACAGAATAATCACATATTTACCTGCGCATGAGACTATCAACTCACTTTTTAATATAAAGAACATAATTATCACTGAAAAACAAAAATGTAGCAACAACATTATTTTTTAAGCATGGGTAATTTTCCTCTGGAAACTTGATATATATATATATATAGATAGATAGATAGATAGATAAATAGATAGGTATAAAACAGCAATTTTAAATTACCCCCTTATACATTTAAACTGAACCCAATGCATTTCCCCCCATTTTGGAAACTGGAGGAGGTCTCTAAAGGAATTCCCACTGAAGTGTATTTTCACAATGTGCTAATTAAAACAGTGCAGTTGTTTCCCATTATCCATAGCAAACGTTTAAAAATAAGGTAAACAATCCTAAAGTAAATTAAATTGCTTACCTTTGAGCCTCTCTCATTAAAAATAATTTCAACATCTAAGATTTTACCAAATTGCTGCAAAGAAATAGAAATGTTTTATAAGCAAGAGAAATGGAGGACATCAGATTATGCACATTGGTAACTGAACCCCAAGTCCGAGTTTGTTTCTTTGTTTTCTCTTTCAGTATCAGGAGTGGACACTTTATGTTGTTTCATCCTTAGTGATGTGCTTGAACCAAGAGAAAGCACAAGCATACGTATGATTTTTATTTTATTGGATACCCCACCAAGTGAGCGGTCATAGTATGGGCCTGTGCAAAATGTGTATCAGGTGGGTAGTTCTCTTTTTCTTTCTTTCTCTCTCTTTTTTCTTTTAAGATTTTATTTATTTATTTGACACACAGAGAGAGATCACAAGTAGGCAGAGAGGCAGGCAGAGAGAGAGGGGGAAGCAGGCTCCCTGCTGAGCAGAGAGCCCGATGCGGGGCTCGATCCCAGGACCCTGAGATCATGACCTGAGCCGAAGGCAGAGGCTTAACCCACTGAGCCACCCAGGTGCCCTTCTCTTTTTCTTTCTTCTGGTGTGGACAGTTGCTTTCCCAGGCACTGAGCAGCAAAGATGAAAACTGGCTGGTGTATAAACTGATTCTCAGAGCCTACTCCGCTAGCCACTGGCAGAAGCAGCCTTGATGATGGATTTTAAATGGTAAAATGTCCACATGGCGTCTGATGGTGAGGACGGTGGCCCGTGGCCCCCGTGTAAGCTACAGGAAGAGCCAGGCCATGTACAGGAAATCAAGTATGAACAGATGAAAGCAAGATCCACCATGTGGACATCCATCATAATCAAGACACCAGCATAGTTGTGATTAGCCCTGAGGCTGAAATGTACTTCTCTCAAGATGATTCTCCATTTTGTTAAACAAACAGATAGATTTTAGACAATTAGCAGGAAGAGGCTCTACAAGAAGTGAAAGCCACTCGACATATTTGAGCCTGGAAACATGGTTTCAGATTACAAACAGGGCAGCCAGCTGAATTACAGATGCTTAGTTAAATTTAAATTTCAAATCTTTCAGGATAATTACATCCCCTGCAATATTTAAGACACTCTTATACTTAATAAAAATGTTATCTAAAATTCTAATTCAGCTATTGTCATCTTGTATTTTTTTTTATTTGCTCAATCTTGTAGTCCTAGTGAGAAATGGCACATCAAGTAATTTGTGATCCACACTTTAAAAATAAGGGAACATGGACCCTTGAAACCAGAAGCATCTGATAGTCCAAGGTCCTTTGCCACTGACATTGGAGTCCTTTCCTTTTTCACAGATTGCATGAAATACCATGGGTTGGTGTCCTAACATTGTGTGACGTGGCCCAGGAAAACTACGAGGGGAATTTTACCCTGATGCGCAATGAGGGCAAGTGCTCATTTCAGTGATTAAAAAGTAAACAGAATCACATGAAGGAATATGTTCATTCTCCTTTTCCTTTACTTTGAGCTTTTGTATTATTCTATTTGTTTCTGCAGCCTAGATTTTTTTTTTTTTAAATCTTTTATTGCCTGAGGAGAGTCTGTGTCTCTCTGTCTCTCTCCCCCAGATGGAAAGCAGTAAACAACCTCCATGCTGCAGAGGCCAGAGTGGTTGGGAGGGACAGAAAAGGAACAAATGGTTAGAACACAGAGAACCAGAGGCAGCCCCCCTGACCACTGAGCTTCAGTCACAGGATATGGGGTAGGGAGGACCCTGAGAGTAAGTGCTAAGAGGGTCCTACTAAGATTTGAGAAAAAAAAAATTTTTTTTGAAACAGAGAGAAGCTGTCCTCTGGAATAAAACTAGCTTTCTTGGAAAGACAGGGGGAGAAAAAATGAGGCACACTCCAGTTGAAGAAAAATAGCTCAAAACCTTGAAACAAAAGATGTTCTGACCTAGGAGAAAAAAGAAACCCAAAGCTAAGTCATGGAAATGTGCCCATCCTTCAGAATACGGACGCGGTCAGGGCACTGCAGATTGAATCGGTCTTGTCGAGCGGATGGACATGCTTTTCATCTTCCCAGAGACAGACAAGGGCAGGAAGAAACGAAGCAGCCCAGCTCCGAGAGGACAGGGGAGGGCTCCACTGCCAGCAGGTACGATGCAAACACCAACTCACCCTGTCATTCGTGGACCCTCTAATGTCCTTTGGGTCAAGAGAATATCTTCTACAGAGCATTTTCAGTGCTCTAGATTTGGGCAGAGAAAGCCGTTAAAAATAGAAGAAGAAAACTTTCAGATTTGGGAAATGGGGGATTTGCCGTTGAAAGGTGAACGGAATTTCATAGTAAAAATTCCAACATGTGAAGTCCTCAGAAGCAGTGATTTCGATAGGACCTCCTTACAATATTCAGTCCACGTCAATGTTATCACATTTATTTTGAGCCTAAGAGCGTGAAAGCACACATGTTTATGAACAGGGAAACTTGAGGAGGACCCGCCCAAACCGCGAAGCCAATGTCACCTCTGGAACATTCTCTAAGCAGGCAACACGACAACACTCCCTTTGAAACAAGATCTGGTTGAGACAGAACCAACCCGTCAAGAAGTAACCCTAGCATGTGTCATTCCCTAAATGAAACAATGACACCATATGCCCCGAAATGGTCTCAAATGTTTGCCTCTTGGCAGTTGCCACTGGGCGGATGATTCTCAGAGTCTGGAAAATGAGCAGTGAGAAGAACGCAGATATGAGCCCCACTCCTAAGACAGTTGTGTACTGTATTTATAGTATCAACAGTTTAATTGGGAAGTTTGGGACTAATGATGTAAACACAGCTGGCACATGTTCTGTCTAAACAGACATGACTCGCAGACTTAACTCGCATTACTTTGCTCAACGCCCGTGTGCAGCCACGTTCGACAATGTCCCAGAACGTACGCAAGGTGTCTCAGTGGCGGTTTCAAGAATAAAATCCGGAGGCTTCTAGGCACGCGCCGGGGCAAATACATACCAGGCATTTTGAGACATTCTCAGATCAAATAATGTTTCTCTGAAAAACTGTGGAAGATGTTCAGTGGATACAGCATAAAATGTGAAAGTAAAGGTTAGTTCAAAGAGCGCACACAGAGGCAAAGAAAAGGTATCATCTCAGTTTTCGTAGGGTTGGCTTCCTGTTTGGAATGCAAAGATGGGAGGCACCAAGCCAGGTCCAAAAAAAAAAAAAAAAAAAAAAGGAATGCTTCACTTAGTATAACAGCACAGTGCATAGAATTTGGCATTAACGCCAAAGATGCAGGCATCTCTATGTTATTCCTAAAAAGGTGATCATGAAAGCTTCTTTTGTATGTTCTGGAAGTCATGTGGTCTGTTTTGGGGTGACAGTAATGAGTGACTTCTGTAGATCTTATTCATGTCCAGAGGGTCTGTATCAAAAGCAAGGCTGTGACATCAACAAGGGTGTTGTGCAAATTTGAATCTTATGCTCCATGAGCCACTACTTCTGAAAACAGTACTATAATGCAATGTGTCATGTCAGTGGTCTGGATATAGCATATGCACCTCTCTCACCCCAAACCCAGATACGTGTAAATTTTAAACGTTAGGTTAAAGAACCATTCTGTCCAAGAGCAAGCCATTATATTCAATCTGGTAGACATCCACCCACATTCCTTTCATGGGATCATTAAGACTTTAAACATAAAGGATGCCCACCCTCGTGAATGCTCCCTGACATGAGGACAGAGCTCAAAAAGGAAGTCGTCAGGCCAGAACCAACGTTTCTTTCAGGGAAACATCCAGAGCCAATGCCCTTGATCTGTTCACTCACGCCCCCAACTGAGGTTGTAAGAAGACTCTGGCACCACTGTGCGCACATAACTTCTTGACCAAAGAATGTTCCATCTTGACAGGAAGGAAGGAAGGAAGGAAGGAAAGAAAATCTATGCATCGTTAGAAAATTTAATGCCAAACACTAGAACAAATGCTTCCCAGGGAGGAGGAAGCAAAAAATGTCAAGCACTGAAGAACATGGTGGGAGAAGGGTAACCAGAATCCCAGTGAACGGGTCCTGAAGCTATGAATGAAAAACAAACCGTGAGGCACCTGCGGTGGCCATTAGGCCTGCAGAAATCGCAAACTTCACAGCTGAATTATTAATAGTTCCAAAAGTTGTCAGGAACACGGCTAGGTTTTAGGCAGTTGGAGAAAGAAGCTTCCTTTTTTGTCTCGTTTCGGTTTGGGTTTCAAATCCCCATGGCCGCCTTTAACAAAAGAGACAAAGGAGAAAAACACAAAAATCTTCGAGAGGGTGTTTCTCTGTAGTCACCCCCCTCCCCCGCTGCTAGTCCCAGCCAAAGTGAAGAGGCAATAGCAAAATAAGGCAATAAAAAGAGAAGAGATCTCATGTCCAAATGACTTGGAAAAGACCTAATTGGAATCAAAATGTCTTTTCTTACAGTAAGTAAGACCTACAAGAAGAAACCACACTTAGTTTTCTCAACCGGAGCGTGGGGAGCCAACCCGAATGTTTACAGATGCCTTTCAATGCGACTCATGCCACTAAAAGTATCAGATAACCACAGTGGGATTGCCACCACCAATGTCTGGCTGGGAAGAACAGATTTTTAGTATTTAAATTCCGTTTCTTCAGAACAGTGGTCATAAACCAAGGAGGCCTCAGTATTATTACAAAGAATTCAGGAATCTATATGTGCCCCAAATTTTTAGAGCTGAAACTCATTAAAAAAAAAAACAAAACAAAACTTGCATACTTTTAAAAAGAACACAGATGCTGTTTGTGATGAACGAAATTAATTTCAATATTACTGAACGTATGCCGCGTTTTCTTAATTGATACTAAGCGTATCTATCATCTTGTCAAGTCAACGTCTTGTCAGTTGCTTAGGAATGTTGACTTTTAAAAAAACTGGCTCTGAAACCAGTGGATTTTGATTATAGTTCGATAACTGGGTCGTATGTTCAGTCTTTGGCAAGACCTCGCTCTGTATCACTTGCCTTCGCCCTCTAAGAACAGAGGGGCTCAGATATCCGTGCAAGCAGGATGCTGTCTTTGGGAGTTCCAGCTGCGGATTATTTCCAATACCTCTGACTTGGCTGTGTAGCCCTCCGGTGACTTTCAAGATAACCGAGAAGACCAGGGAGGGGAGAGCGCCATCGGGGTTGGGAGCTGGGGTGGGCTGCCGTGAGTGACACCATAAAAGAGCACCGAGGTGATCATTAAGAGGGCCAGATTCAAAGCCAACCTCCCAGTGACACCTGACGAGGAAAGATGGACCACGGAGCAAGACTTTCTAACCTGACGTGGCGAAAGGAATCTAATTCCTCTGGCTGCCCATCATTCAAACCTGGTCTCACTGCTTTATACACACTTAACCTCCACTTTCACTTTGAATGCTTTGCACTTTTCAAAGTCATCTTTGACCTGAGAGTGCCCGAGGGTATCTCTACTCTGCCAGAAGTTAGAGGGCTCAACTCAAGGTTATTACCAAATGAGAGAGATAAAAGTGCAGAAGCTGACCTTTTCCTCTGAAATGTCAGGATTCGAGTCTGGGTATCTGAATATTAGGACGCTGGCTCTGCCTCTGTGTCAGATGTGGATCTGATAAACACCATGCATGATAAAGAAAGAGAAGGTACACCCGAGCTAACCCCACGATCGCAGCGTCATGAACCAGAGATCCCCCTCGCATCGGGGGAATGAGGTCTCCTTGGCCCAGGGTTCGGCACAAAAGTTTGGCCTCTTCTTATTGCTTCTGTAACATTTGCATCCAACCACCAACTCTTAGAACAATCTCCAGGCGGCCAACCTTTCCTCTAAGTCAAATGCTAAGGATGTAGCTCTGTTCACGGAATCCACAGACACCTCCCGTCAACGCTGGGATGGTTGTCATGGGCAAATTGGCTGACTATGTTTGCAAAAAACTAAAAGAAACAAAAACAAAACAAAACAAAACAAAAAACTACTAAGGGTATCTAAGCCCTGTCAGAATTTTGTCCTTCAGAGCCCAGGACGTGGCTAACTCATTCCTTCTGAAGGTGGACAGTGCAAGGTTTCCTACCGAAAAAGAATCCGAGTCATCATACCCCACGAGGAAGCAACCTTATCATCTATTTTCTCTGCGTTGACGGTGGCTTCTGCCCTGCTCTGTGTTTCAATCATGGTAGCCAGGCAAGGCCGTCATCAGTGACAGAGAACATCACAGGAAGAAGCTCTGAATCCCCATCACTGACTGCGCGAGAGTCTATACGGCAGGGCGCAAGTCAGACTTAAGAAATCTTTAGCCTTCTCTGCTTTGCTTTTTGATGAAGCTTTATGCAGAAGTCATTATTTGCTAAAGCTGCCTGAAATCCAAGTGCACAGTGCCTGGGAAAGAGTGAGGTGTGCAGGAGCATATCGTGAGAACTTTGGCAGCTACGAAAGAGAGAAGAACCCAAAGGACACAAAATGTTTATTTCGGCCGTGACACGGGGTCCTGGGCCACTTGATCTGGGATCATCAGTGGGTTTCTTTCAGTGCTACTTTATCTGGGAACTCATCTGCCATGTGATTTTCCAGTTACTAATGAGAAGAAGACCATTTGGCAAAGCGGGGCCATGGTGAACCGATACAAAGATATTTAGACTAAAATCATAAGGAGACTCTGGCCACAATATACCCACAGACTAGGATCTAAAATGTCTTTCTCTTCCCCCTACGTAAACATCTCACCTTCATGTTATAAATACCAAGAACTTACACGAGGAGGGAAGGGCTCTGGGGACCCCCAGCGTGGACACCGCACAGGGGAAACACACTACTTACGCCAAACATTTGTCGGAGGTCCGGATCCCGGAACCTGAAGGGGATGTTGGAGACGTGCAGCCGCTTGGGCTGGGACTTGTTTTCTGTGTTTTCAGAAGGTTGTGTCTGGGGCTGGCCATCCGTTGGTGCCGCGTCATCTGTCTGCTAAAAGGACAAGAGTAAAGAGGCTCTGAGTGGACCTGTGCGCTTTCCAAAGTGCTTTAGCTTCCCCGAAATGGTAGGAAAATGCTGGAACAAAGGAGCAAGGACAAGAAAGGAGCTGCTGGGTCATCCATCCATCCATTCAACAAGTATTTATTGAACATTCCTGAGAGCCCAAGGTAGATCGGGATTCAGCAGTGAGAAAGCAGACAAGCTCTGCCTCCATGGAGTGTAATTCTTACAGGGGGTGTGTGGGGAGGAGGGTGTAAGCTCATTAATGAATAAATATGGAACTGGTAGAAGGAGAGCATCATGGAGGACAATAAAACAAGGAGAGGGGTAGTTGGTGTGGAGGTATTGGGGAGTTTTAGCAGGCAATCAGAGAAAACCTCATCATTAAAGGTAGGAAAGTGTATATCCCTTAACCAAAGGGGTCCAAAATCTTAAGATACGCCTGCATAATTATTGCAGCTGTCCAGATAAAACATTAGCAAATGTAGTAAAACATTTGAGAAGGCTGTCTGGTGTTCTGCAGTCCAAGTAACCATCCAACTGACTTAATTTTTTTTTTTTAAGGTTTTACTTTCTCATTTCTTGGTTGGGCAGGCCTGTGATGGCCATTACAGCTGACCCCGTGTGGCTATTTAAATTTGAATGAATTAAAATTAAGTAAAATGTAAAATCCAGTTTTTTCCTTCACACTAGCCACATTTCAAGTAGTCCATGGCCACCGATGGCTAGTGGTTTCCACGTCAGACCACGTGGATCTAGAACATCTCCAGAACGTTCTACGGATTATATTGGTGTCGATAAAGTTATGCTGTTAGCATAACTCATTACTCCGCTTCCCACTCTTGCCAAAACAAAAGCCCGGACAACACGATATTGTATCGGCAAATATACAGGCAGGAGAGTCACATTAACACTTGGTATCATTACAGCCATTCCCATACTCTTGGTTCTAGAGACGCTTCTGGATACTTTCTCTGCAATTAGCATCTATCGCCTCTGGGTGGCAGTTGATGCCACCCACATCAGTTACTTTCTTCTCCAAAACCATAATGGAAAACCTGTGTGGAAGCCCATCAAATCTATGAGGGAAGAATCAGCCTCACCTACTTTTAAATGATGTAGAAGCCTGTAACTGGGACAAAACTATCCATGCAATCGGGCAGGTATAAGATAATAAAGACATAGAGGAGACAAGTGAAAAAAAAAATATATGACATGTTTTTCATATATAAAAATGTTTTATATATGCATATAAATACTTTATATAAATACGGTATATGATACATATACCACAATAACATGGCCATAATTAGTGACTTTCTCCCCAATCCTTGTGTTTATTGGCAGATTTCTTCTGCATTCGCCATCCTAATACCCCCTGAATAGCATTTTGAAGTCAAGACCTCTCAGAAGTTGGCAGACTACTCTTCCAAGCTGGTTTCGTGTCAAAACCCCTTTCTGAGGACCTCTGCAAGTTTGAGGTGCTACGTCATGGTAACACCAATGCTGCCCTTGGTCGTTTCGTCTGTGCTACTGGAGTGGAATAAGGAGGAGGATGGTGACGGTCTTCTAATCTGGAAAATGAGTAATAATAATAATAATGCACCCCTTCCAAGGCTCTGTGAAGACTGAGTGCAGTAATACAGGCCAACCTGGCACAGTTCTTGGGACACGAACTCAATAAATGGAAGGCAGGGAGTTTTTTAGAGTGATGGTGACTTTTCCTTAAAATGTCAAAAACAAGGAGAGAGAAAGCCTCTCTCAGGAAACATACAAAGGAAAGGTTCCCATTTGCTTGTTAGGCACATTTTTACTGAGCAACTACTATATATTGGACATACAGGTTAGTCCTCCCAGCACACGCTGTTCCTAGTTCAGTTCAAGAGAAAGAAGAAGGAAAGAGCTAGTGGTGAGGCTGAGGTCAGAGTCAGTCACAGAGGGCTGAGTAAACTGAAATCAGGGACACGCAGCACAGCTGGACATTCTGGGAGCCCTGCCAGTTCTGGAGGTTAGGTTTTTGGTGGGAGATGTCTAACAGAAGAGACGAAGGGGCTGACGCTCTACCAGCAGAGGGCAAGGCACAGGCAAAGACGCAGAGGTGATATCGGGTTCTGGATTCGGGTTCTGACTTTGACCTTAGTGTCAAAGTCAGCGGGCAGGAAGGACAGATGATAAAAACTAAGAGGAGGCACTTACAGATCATCCTGGGGTGTGGTGGGACTGGCGCCCAGCATCGGGGCTGAGCCACGGCCACCAAATGGGAAATGCAGGCCAAGCCTCTGACTGAGCAGGTAAAGGCATTAGGAAGTGTATCAATCAAGTCATGAATGAAGGATGAATGAATGGTCCACTTTGCATTTTCAGGTAATAGTCGAATACAATATTGTAACACCCAGGCCCAAACCAAGCAGGGAACTGTGTTTTCTCTGCTGGTAACATGACCCTCGGTTACACAACCAAGACCCAGGGATGTCCTTGAACCATGCCTTTGGGGTCATGTCCTCTGACCTAAGACCCTAAACTTGCAGAGACAGCAGCTGAGTGAGATCCCAGCTTAAAGTCCGTTTCTTCCCTCCGATTAGAAGTTGCTGTTCAAATGCAAATTAAAACAAGCTCCTTCTCATCCCAAGAAAGAAACTTAGATTTGGATTTGTACATAACTGCTGGATGTTTCAGCTTAATAAACCTAATTAGGAATTACAGAGATTATGATTAAACATATTAAATGATTAATAGCATTATGCCGCTCATGTGAAAATTAAAATTAATCATCTTTAGTCAAACAGGACTTTGGAGAAATCTCTGCGTTGTTTCCTTTGATAAAAACATACAACGCTCAATTAATCATTTTGTAGTGTGGGCATGTGTATAAAAGCTCACAAATTGTTATGTCGGAATACCTGTGTATTAAAAGTAATTTTTAAAGATAACACGTAAAATGGAAAACAAACCGAAAGCGTTTCTGACGTCGTGGGTAAATGGAGAGGAGAGGGCAGGGGAGCACGTTAGGGTCCAGAGGCTGACTCCGGAGCCTGGGGCACAGCAGGGGTGAGGACCAGAAGGGTCCTCACTGACTCTGCTATCAGGGTGAGAGCGTTCCCCTTCTCTTTTTCTGGGAACTGTCAGGGAAACTATATTCAGGACAAGCCTGAGTTTTAGGTCCCTGTATTAGTCTGCTAAGAAATTACCACAAATACGGTGGCTAAAAGCAATGGAAATGGACTCCTTCACAGTTGTGGAGACTGGAAGGCTACAGTGAAGGCGCTGTCAGGACCACACTCCTTCTGGAGGTTCTAGGGGAGAGCCCACATTTGCCTCTTTAAGCTTCTGGTGACCTCTTGGCTTAAAGCTACACTCCCCCCATCTCTCCACGTTCTCCACGTGTCTCCGTGTTCATATGGCTTTCTTCTCTCTGTGTGTCTGGGACTCATATCTCCCTCTGCCTTTCTCTTCTTATAAGGATTTAAAGCTCACCCTGGATCTTGTCTTGGGATGCTTGATTACATCCACAAGGACCCTCTGTCCAAATAAGGTCATAGTCATGGGTTTACAGAGAAAGGGATGTGAACATATGTTTTGAAGGCCACATTCAACACACTATAATCTTCTTCTAAACAAGCAAACCGGAAGTGCATGTAGAAGAAGTAGCTGTTGTCAGTAAGTGGATGCATCTTCTACCACCGAGGGAAAGGGCTGGTCTCACACCCGCTCTAGAAGAAGAGAGAATGTCCCTGTTGGAGCTGTCCCAGGCTCCCATCTGTCACACTGGGAACTTTGATGAGTTGTCTAAAGAGAGATTTGAGTCTTCCCTTCACCCTGGCCCAGGCTCTCGGGCTGCCTTTGTGTACCTCCCCCTGGATGTGATGACCCCCTTCAGCTGGGCCGAGAGGTGCTCTACTGGCCTCCTGAAAGGGATCCAACACCTTAAAAACAACGTTAGTTCTGCAGGTTCCCTGAGCCTAGCCCTGTAGCTCACACAGATGGACAAGCAGTCACAGCATCCCCGAGAAGGTCGGTGAAGCTTATGGCAAAGGCACAGCGTGAAATTTCTAAAGACAAAAATAAAATCATGTGAAAAAGCTGAGAAAGTTGCTAAGAGAATTGTACATCTAGAAGGCATATCCCCGAAAAGCAGGGGCTACCTGGTTGGTAGTTACATCCCTCAAGGCTGGTACGTGTTAAGGCTTATTTGGAATTAACGGCTGGTAGAAGAACCTTGGTTTATCTGTGTCTGATTCTTTTAAAGTATCATATTTGGCTCTAAAAGCGGGACCCAGCTGAATTGGAAAAGATGCCTCATAACCATGTTTGGGAGATCAGAAGGTAGCACATAAAGACCAAGTAAATTGCTCCTGGTCTGCTCACTCAGGGATGAGAGGAGATTGAGAAAACAAAGGTGTTAGAGGTGGAAGTAGAATGGCCGGCTTCCCTCTCAGAACCCTCCAGTCCAGACCCCCATCCTGGGCTGCAAGTTTCAGTACACGCTCTGGCCCGGATCCCCTTGCTTCCTGAGGTTCCTGCTCCTTACTCAAAAGCCACCTGGCTCCTTCCATGCGCACAGCACGTTCCCTCCTTGGGCTTCATGCCTGCTCTTCCTTTGCCTGGAAAATTCTCTCCCCAGACGCCCATATGGCTTGCCCCCTTCTTCCCAGCTCTCTGCCCAGACAGCACCCACTGGAAAAGCCCTCACTGGCCCCGTTATCTAAAGCTTCTGCATCTCCTGTCTCCTTGCTCGTTCACTTTTTTCATAGCACCTATCCCTTCTTGCCTTTGTATTAGATGCTTCTGTTAGTTTCTATGGTGTTTCTTTGTCTCCTCCGCCAGAATGTGAAATCCATGAGGACAGAGACTGGGTGAGTTTCCATCCACACTGTTCTGTCCCTATCCCCAGAGCCATTTTTCAGCATCGAAATGTGGACATTGGGGCAGGTTAAGTCCTCGATGTGGGACTGTCCCGTCCTCTGTAAGATGTTCAGCAACACCCCGGCCTC